TCTTTGAGAGTTCAGTCAGAGGTTCACCCGATTTGTGTCGAAATGCGGCCAAAATTAATTCAATCGCTTATATCGACGATCAGAAGACATACTTCTTCACGAGTGAGGGTTACTATTGGCTCATCAATGAAACAGAGTTTCCGCCCAAAGAGTTTGGAAAACCACTTCCCGCGGGCTTCAGAGTCGGCGACTCTGCCATGTATTGGAACTCTCAGAAGAGTTGTCCCGATTCTAACCCTCAAAGACAACAACAAATCCATTTGATTGAAAAGACGCCAACAATTGGAAATCAGATAATGGTTTTGGATTTACTGACAAACAAATGGTCCGACAATTCGTTTTCATACAAATCGTCGCGAACTATAAGAAAGGCTTCCGTTAAATGGGATCAACCAATCGATGGTCTCTTTATATACGATAAAACAAATCTAATGATCGCTCAAAAACTTCAGTACGAAGTGATTGATATAAAACCGTTATGTGAGGGACAGACAGACGGACAGCCATTGGGTCTGAAATCAATTAGTGATTTTGGCGAAGAAGTGGATGCGCTCACAATTGTCAACCAAACTCGACTCCTTCTGTTCAAAGGCATCCATTTCTGGATTCTTGACATTAAATCGTTCACAAATGGAAAGTTTACGACAATTAAACACAGCAAACAGAATATAGTGAACCACTTCTTCAAATTCAACGGCAGTTGTGTCTCACCGACAGGTGATCCCTATCCCAGCGCCCAATCCCTGATCCCTATTCAGCCAAACAATGCGACAACAAAATTACCAAATGCTTCGCTTAACACAACTTTGGCAAAGAGTGTCAAAGAGTCAAAGGATGGCAACAATAAGTGGTTTTTCATCATTTCAGTGATTCTGATCGCAATTATTCTACTCCTTGTATTGGCTTTCATATGCGTTCTCTTCGTTCGCCACAAGAAAACGAGTCGAAAAGCGGCCGATTCTCAAAGCAAGTCCAGCCAAAGCCTCAAACCAAGCAAAAGTCGAAAGTGAACACAACTTTATACCCGTTTCTCTTAATCTCTTTGCAATCAAAATTGAAAACAACTTTAAATATTGAAATACTTATTATAAATATGTTTTATTACAATGAAATTTACAATAAAATGTTAAGAAATTAAATAATAGACTCTCTCTTGTGTGACAATTGGTCTAATGTTATGACATCAATGTCTTCGTGTGGACTCTTCATCGGCAGATTAGCCTTAGCCCACTCTAGTCTAGAAATAATCATTTCTCTTCTCGATTGAAGTCTCTTTTTAGTGACCATTTTCTTCGTGTATTTATTGATTTCAGTTTTGGTGTCTTTCCTATGATTTGTGTCCAATTTCTCCAATTGTCTCAATTCTGTCTTTCGTTTCAATTTGTCTGCTCTTCTCTTTAGCTGTCGTTTCGTTAAGTTTTCTTCTTTTAGTGATGCGATCGGAGTATTGGATTCATTGCTCTCATTATTTGTGTTCATATTTTGTGCTTTAATTTCCTAAATATAATGACATTTAAAAAGTTAAATACATTTGCTTTTAATAGTGAGTGAAAGACATGTTTTCATTTGACTCAACATTTTGTGATAATTTCTAAATATTGATTCAAATCATATCAAATGACACGTTATTCTTCACTCACATCCATATTATCACCTTTTGGTAGTTCTGTTCCCTTGTCAACGAAGAACAAATCTCCGCCATCTATAGTGTCCTCCGGTTTATGGCGTTTAAGAGGGTTGTCATCACTCGTGCCATAAAGAGTCTGTTCTTCGTCTTCATCTTCTTCATCATCACTTATGGAAATCTGGTCCGGATTTGGCAATGGTTTCAATGACTCAATAATGGCTGCCATGGGATCAGTTATGCCCAATCTTTTGCAAAACTCAACGGTTCGTGGATTAGTGTAATTACGAAGCCTTTGTGGGTCACTATCACTCTCTTGGAGCGCCGGTTCCGACACTTCAAAGTTTTGGGGAATCTTTAAATCGTTATCAAAGAGTTGTTTGACACCATTTATATCACTTTCGGTCACCTTATGAAGAGTGGACCACATGGCGGGCACTGAACACTTCCTATCAATACTCGACAACTTGTCGGTCGACTTAAGTATAGCCAACCACTCGGCGTCGTATTCAAGACAATCACTACTCGATGGCACCGACGGCTCGATATCAATGATTTCCATGTATTGTCTGTTTGGCAACACTTTGTCGAGCGCTAAGAAGCGGGTCTGAACCTTAAGGTCTTCCGTATGATTGACCAGCGCTTCAAACCTCACGTGAAGATGTGCTGAAAACCAATGTCTGGGCTTTAAGTGTCGGACGAGTGGTTCAAGTAATGGATTTCCCAAACAATTGTTTTGTATGTCATTTAAGAAGTGCTTCTTTCGCCGCAACAAATACTGAACGTTACCACAGCTGTGGATATTAATGGGCCAGTCGTGTGATATCATCACATCCAACNTTACTTCGGTATGTGTTTGGAGAGAGAGAGAGAGAGAGAGAGAAACTAATTGCTTTCATAATGTTCTATAGACACGACACCAATGGGTCGAATACTGAACCTCTTCGCCGAAGACATGTATTTGATAGACAGAGAACTCGTTTTTGACATCAGATTAACTTTCCTGAAATTTTTCGCTTTAATCGTATCGTTGGTTATGATATCACTGGAAACACCACTAATACTGCTGGCAATCCTACCGATAATAATGGTGTACGTGTGGTGTCAGCGGCTATACATAGCGAGTCAACGGCAGATCCGACACCTGGACACCGGCACCCGTACGCGCATTATAAGCCACTTCGCGGAGACATATAACGGAACTGCAGTTATCCGTGCCTTCGGAGCCGACCGGGACTTTGTCCGGGAATCGCACCGACGTCTGGACGCACACAATAGGTGTCAATACCCGTTACTGGTGTCCGAGCGTTGGCTCGCCGTACGGCTCGAGTTCTTGGGCTATAGTATAGTGTTATTGTCGGCGGTGTTTGCCGTAGTGTTCAGGCATACAGTGGGCGCCGGTATGGCCGCTCTGGCCATCACTTATGCCGTGAACATCACTCTTATTATGGGACGGTTTGTGATGGGAGTGATCGATACTGAGACCGATATTATGGCTTTCGAGAGGTGTCTGGCGTTTACGCAAATACCAATTGAGGTATTGATTGTGTCATAATTTATTAATACAAAAGTTTTATTTAATATTTTTTTAATTGCATTCATTTGAAGGCCGAGTGGTATAATGAGAGGACTAAACCCACGGACAACTGGCCGACAATGGGTTGCATTTCATTCACAGACTATTGCACTAAATATAGATTTGGTTTGGATTTAGTGCTCAAAGATATAGCAATTGATATAAAAGGCCGACAAAGGGTTGCGATCGTCGGCCGCACCGGCGCTGGAAAGTCGTCCCTCGCGTTGGCTCTCTTCAGACTCATTGAGCCGACGGCCGGAACCGTTACCATCGATGGCGTCGACTGCTCTACCATTGG